AGGGAGGGCCCCAGAGGAGGAGGGTAGTGGATAGGTGGGGGGAGAGAGAGAGAGAGAGGGGGGGGAGGGTGCATCACTTCTCACTTCGTGATTGAATTTGCGAACGGTCAATTGTGCACCTCCTGAGTCGATGGAACACATGGTTTTGTAATGCTGTTTTTCATCCAATTATGTGTTTGAAAGCATGTGAATGGCCATTGTTTTTCTTCTGTGAGCACAACTTCTTGTGCCGGTGTGGAACACTAGTTTCGCAATTGGCGGTACGAGCGAAATAGCGCACCGCTCATGTATGTCCGCATTCACATCAGGCAAGCGTTTTGTAAGGCTTTGCTGGATAGCGGAGCGGCTCACAACTTTATTAGCCATCCGTTACTTCCAGATGCTGGTCTTGGCACACAAGTTTGGAGGAAGCTCCATCCCACAGAGGTTGAGCTTGTGGACGGTCATATGCAACGACTCCTTGACTGATGTATCGAGGACATGACCATGTACTTTGCACCTCATGCTCGAGAAGTCGTCGACTTCAATGTCTTGGACACAAAACTTTGACATGATTTTTGGGATACCTTGGCTCGCTAGTGCAGACCACACCGGCAACTTCAGATGACAAACTCTTACTGTTCATGATGCCCTCGAAATGAAGTACCGTGTAATATACCTCCTTCATGCACTTTGATCCAGTGCCAAATTGTTTCGGCCAAGAATTTTCAAACTACTTGCCCTTTCGAGCCTTTGCTTTTTTCAAGCTGTCGCAGCGACCGACTCTTCCTCAAAGGGCGCGCGTGATTCGGTTGCTCAACAAGTTTTCGAATGTCTTCGAGGATCCTTCAGGCGTTCTTCCGGACCGTCCAATCATTCTTAAGGATGCAGTCGTTCCACCTAAGGGATGTATTTACCGTATGAGTGAGGATAAGCTTACGGTTCTCCATATGCAACTTGGATCCCCCTTAGTACCTCACCGTATGACGCTAGCATTCCCTTCGTTCTCAAAACTAACAAGGACTTAGGCTTGTGCAATGATTAGCACACACTCAATGTGCAAACGATCAAGTATGCGGAGCCTCTTTGACACATTGACGATCTGCTCCACCACTTGGGCGGTGTGAAGTTCTTCTCTAAGTTGGATTTCAAGTCAGGCTATCATTAAGTTTTCAATTTGGCCATTCCACGTTCAAGATGCAGGATGGGCATCTCAAGTTGGTTGTCATGCCTTTCAGCCTCACCAATGCCCTCACGACTTTCGAAGCGGCCATGACCAATGAAGTTCGTGCCATGCTGGACCGGTCTATCGCGACACCATTCTCGTCTAGAATCAGACTTTGGACAAGCACCTCGAGCATCTACGCCACATTTTGGAGATTCTTCGCCATGCGAAGGACAAAGCCAACCGCAACAACTGTGAGTTCGTCTGTCAAGAGTTGGAGTACTTGGGTCACTTCATCGTACCGCTAAGAAGATCATCCACCGCGACTTTGCCATCCATCGGCAAAATTGGTGGTGTATGGAAGGACAAGTTTTTAGCATAGTCGCCAACTGTTGATACTCCACGATCCAATCAGCGCTTGGCATAGAGTGCTGCGTAAAGTGCATCAATTTCTCTATGGTCGTGATCTTCGGTGGCTCCACTTGGAACCACTTCTGCCATGCTGCTGCAAGCTTGCCCCACCTCATCTTGGTGTGCAGGTCAACGATCTTCACACCATCAGTGTTAATGGTTTTGTCAAGCCAAGATTGACAGGCACTGGCCGATTGTTGGTAAGCAGTCATGTCGCTGAGGCTTCGGAATCAGCTGTGTGTCCAAGCCAACTTGGACCACCATTGGATTGGGTTGGTCTTCGAAGAATCTTCAACTGCAGTGGTCTGAATCTGCTGCTTGAGCTGCTTGTCGGAACTGCCAGCTGATGTGAGCAGTCCTGCAGACTGCTGATAAGCCCTTTAAGATTCTTGTGGGAGTCCTGCAGGCTGCCAACGTGGACACCGTTTGCGAATGGCCACAGAGGACCCTGACTTGCTAGTCCAGACTATGAATGTCGTCCTGCTGCACGATCACCGTTGTGAAGTGTTGAATGCAGGTAGTGGCATCCTTCTTCCATGCGCTTGCAAGCGTATGAATAGTTCTTTCATCAGTAAGCAACACATCACGGTGTTGTGTTGCTCCTCATCTGCAGCCTTGTGTGTTGATGCTTCAATGACCTTCCTCCACTGTTCAGCAAGGCTGCGTTTCTCCACCTCCTCCTCCTCCTCCGCCTCCTTCCAGGTGGCAGTGGCCGCCTCCATCTTCTTCTTCGTCTCTTGTAATCATGCTTGCCTCATAGGCCTCCTAAGTCTCCCCCTCCATGTCTGTGAGTTGCGAGTGTGTAACGACGACTGTGCACTGCAGTCACTGGTGGCCGGCTGACTTGGCACTGGAGAGCTGCTGATGCGGCGCTATGCTGTGACGTGGCACGACTGACATGTAATGCTGACTTGTCATTGCACCTGATGATGTGGCATGCTGACATCTCGCCGGGCTGACATGGAAGCTTACCAATGCCCGCAGTAGAGAGGAGGAAGAACAAAGATATGGAGGATGAAGAAGAAGAGAGAAGGTAACATCATGCACAATGGCAAAGGGTGGGAGGGAGGAAGAGAGAAAGATCTGGAATGAATTTGACAGCATCTCCCCACCCACATGGGGTCAGAATGATCGCCCAGGCCTAGACGAAAATGACTGTGGCACTACATGTTGCCCGAAATGCAGGGGGGGCAAAGTGTGAAAGGCGGTCCCAGCATGCTACGGGTACCCTTGCTTTACAGGTTGCAGTCGGGCTTTGACGCATCTGGAGTTTTCACCTGACTTTCCTGGGACTGAGCTGCTGACTGACTGGACTGGTGGACCTGACTGGCTGGACCCACTAACAAATCCGGCCTACTGGTCTACAACAACTACAGGATCCACTGGCCTAGAAGCAATTAGCTACCTTTGGCACTGGGACTACGGTACATGGGACTCTGGGACCCAACCCGTACTTCGATGCTGAGATGTGTGAAATCCTTTCCTGATTGCATATAGTTTTCCATTCTGCAGTAAGCTGGTATGCCCGAACCCTTCAAGTGCAGAAGGTCGGGGTCGTTGTGGTCCCCAGGTTTGACAAATAGGCTTGGTGCCACTGGTGGTCTGACCACAAAACGGCAATTGATGTTGGGCCCAGCTGGGATTTGATCCCTGCGCTTTCCCAAATATATGACAGACTAAGAAACGTTGCTGCACCGAAATTTGAACAGGGCTGGCTTCTCAGCAGGCTGGTATGTATAAACTGTTGTCTTGGCCGAAGTACCACTTTCTATTCGGGAGAGACGTGAGTTCCCTGGCAATGGCCCAGGTATGCACCAGTATTCCAACATCTCGTTTTTTGCTGACTTCAAGTTGCACGTATTGGGAAGAATTTTGCAGGCATGTTGGTGCGGCTCTCTATGAATAGAGAACTGTTCTCTTGTTGACCATCTTTTGGATTGCGATCAAATGTGGAGCGGTGACCTGGCATACCAATTTTGTTGTGGTCCCATCATGTCGCTTTGCATGTGTGCGACTATTTCTTGCTGCAGTGATCGATCACCATTAGGAGGACATGATAGAGACAGAGTATTGACACATCGTTTGTTTGGGCGCTCGCCTTCTGCACGTGCATTTCAGGAGGTAAACATTGAGTTCTTGCTTCCGGAGAACGTGTTTCGGAGTGATGGAAAACCAGAAGGTGTGTGATCACTTGCAGCAGAGTGGTCGTAGTGCCAACAGGAGGAACAGGTATGAACACTCCCCTTACTGATGATAACTCAATCTTATCATTGATAAGTTGCATGACGATATTGTAGTGGCTTTCCCTCTTAATTCTTTCTTTCATTGTCGAGGATAATCTTCTTTGACATTGTTGGGGCTGTTCTCTCACCATGGCAAGAGCCTTATGTTGCCATGGAAGGTTGGAGATCCTGTCTGTCATTGTAATAGCAGGTGCATGCTGAGAACCTTTTCCTTTTTTTTTATATGAAGCTAAATGGGGAATCAAGCTTGAAAAAATGTGGTAAAGAGCACGTTTGTCGAACTCTGTCCTTTCTGGGTCTTAAATACTATAGTTCAGGGTGCCTCTCCGGACCCATGGAAATGAGACCATCAGAACGTGGCATGCTTGCAATGTGTATTTGGGATGAAGGGGCATGAGTCTGCATGTACAGTAGAGGTGGCATTCTTGCAACAAGTATTTGGAAAGAATGGGATTTGAAAATGCGTACATAAATTAAACTCACGCATGTACCTTTCAAGAGGCATTGCTGGCAAGATCATGTGCTGTGTGTGCTAAAAGCAGTATGGAGTCGGGTGGGAAGCACTTGCAGCTAGCCGCTGTGCGTATGATTTTGTTGCCTAGTCGTTTCTGAGAGGAGCAGGACATTGAAATTGTGAAATTTGTGTTGCTGCTGCTGTCCTTTGCTGTGTTCTATGTGATAGTGGTTCGTTGGGGTTTGGCTTTTACTTGCTGCTCTGGTATGGTGCTCCCTTGTTTGTCTGTCCTACTAGTTTATGGTCTGCCTGCTTGTACAGCGTGCTTCTTGAGGTCCAGCTGCACACTGTGATAATAAATGACCGATGATCTGTCTTGAGATAGTGGTACTTGTTGGTACAATTCCCTAAAACCTCTCGCTTTGTGGCCATATGAATCGGTATTATCACTGCACACGCTCATCGATTTCTGCCTTCACCTGCTTAAACTCGCCTCGGGTCCCTGTCTTCCTGAAGGTATCCTCTTCGTGTGAGAGGTAGGATCAAATTGAGCAATGAGGCGATGCAGCTCCCAGTGCGGATCTGAATTGTCAGTAATTGTATTTGCCTTAAACCACCACTACCTCCGACCCTGTTTTTGCCGAGCCCGACTTTCACAGCGCACCGAATTTTGCCGAGCCGGAGGAGTTTCATCCAAGAAGGAACAAGGGAAAAAGAAAAGAAAAGAAAAGAAAAGAAAGAAAGAAAAAACAAACATCCCAAACGCCATGATCACTGCCAGGTACATTCAATGAGGTGCTCGTGTGACTGTCCCCTCAGTGAGGGCGTGTAGGGGACAAACACAGGGAAAAACAAAACAAAACAAAAAAAAAGCTCCCTTATGTTGTGATCGAGGGTGGATACAGGATGCTACAGCTTGGAGACAGTTATGTGCCACCTGTGAAATACGCCCTGCCTTGCCGGCAGGGCACTAAAACCACATTGGAACAAAATCAAAACAAAACAACAAACCAAACTCTTTCCCCACACCGTGGCCAGATACTTCCTCAAAGTCCTCTGCAACTTCCAACCTCGTGAGGGCCTTCCCCAACGTCCCTGAATTTGAAACTTTCGTTTTTTTTTTTTTTTTTTTTTTTTTGCAAGGAAAATGAACAGAAGCGAGATGACAATATTCAGATTGCACAATCACATTGAAAGCCAAATCGTAACACAGTGTTCAGGAAGCAGCATTGCACCAATATAACACCAAAGGAGAATCGTAGCACTGAAAGTCAATGTCAGTGAGATCTTGCTCTCGTCACCACCAACATATGTATCCACTCTCTATCTCCCAGCCTACTCCCTACACAGCTACTACTAGGCTACTAATTGACAATGCAACCGTTGACGTCAGCAGCACCCGAAATAGTTGAAGATGTCGCCCATGCAGAAAAATCATCGCCAATACCAGGTATGTGCCCTCACATCATGATCATCATCATCATCCTTCTCTCTCCCCCTTGACTATCTCCCACGTCTCCCTTTGTTGTACACCCGAAGACCACCCCTGCACCTCACTGTATGTCCAGCCCACAGCCAGCTATGGAGGCTGGGCTATGGCGCTGCCCTCAGCAGCGCCCTGCTTCACCACACGACCGCACGTGCGCAGCCTCTTGCTCCAATGCCAGCAGCCAGCACGCGAGCTATTGCTCCAGCAGTGCTGCCGCCAGCCAGCAAGTGCTCGAATGCCGCTCGCCAGGGAGAGCTCTTTCCTATATGGAAAGAGCTGGCCTGTTCACGCAGCCTGGCTGGGCTGGTCCTGGGCCCAGAAGCATCCAGTAGGCCCCAGGATGCTGCGCTTGTGTGCAGCTACTGGGCCTCTTGCGATTGGGCCTCCCAACTGTCAGTGTATGATGCTGCGATTCTCGCCCAGGGCCTGCATTCTTTGGAAAAGCCCAGAAGGCCGTGGAAATGTCTTTATTGCTCGGCCCGGGTTTTTCTCAACCAACTGACGCGTCGCAACTGCCTGGACCCCAAATATGAATTTGACAGCCGAGGGCCTTAGGCCCGCCTTCACTTAGGACGGGCATTCTTGCAACAGGGGCCCCTCTGGCCTGCCGAGGACCCAGATCCTCGCATCTTCTTTTTTTCTTTTTCATTCCGTTGGCGTCCAACTGTGTTTTAAGGAGTAGGCTACTAGATGGACTTTGCGTTTGCCTGTGAAAGGTAGTGGTGGTTTAAACCACCAGTCCAAGAGGCCTGCCACTGTTCATTTTTCTCGGGAACAGATCCTGCACCAAAATGAACAGTGATCAGGCTAGGCAGAGGTGCGGGGGGAACAGGCTGGTGGGCCTGATCGGCCCAAAAAAAAACTATTCAAATCGGAAAAAAAGAAAAAAACAAGAGAAACTTGGCTGGGTTACACTATTCACCCCAGGACATCCGGATACACCCTGCCTTGCTGGCAGGGCATGATCTAGAGATTCCAAACAGAAACAAAAGAGAAAAAAGAAAAAAAAAACATTTGGATGCAAGAGCGGTCAGGTACATTCTGGAAAGTTTCTGTGTGAGTATATGCCCTCTGAAATGCCTTCCACGATTCAGACCCCTAATTCGAGTTTCAGGGTCAAGGTCTTAGGCCAAGACGGTCAGTTTCAGAGAAGTCACAGCCGGGTACCTTAGGAGTCAAGTCCAACAGGCGGTGAACAGTCACATCCCAGGGGCAACGGTTGCATTCTATAAACAAAATTCACATGTCATATTGAAGTGTCATATTGAAAAGTCACATCCCACGGGCAAAGGACACTTCCCCAGGCAAAGTTGTGTCCCAGAGGCAGGAGTCACAACCCGCAGTCAGCAGTCATGTTCCACAAGTGAAAAGTCATGACTCACAGGCCCAAGCAGAAGCACACCAATGGAAATTCGGGGAAAGTACCAGGCCTGACATTCTGAAGCAAACAGGCCATGGGGATGTGGTACCAGAACCAAGTCAAGCCCAAGAAGCAGAGGCTGGGATGAGTTGAAGCTCAGTCCAAGGCAGCATAAGGACTGGCCAGCCCCCTCGTTGGGCAGATTGCTCATGCGCATGAAGTGTGGAAGTGCTGGTGCACTTGTGCGCTATTGTGAGGGGTGGAGCGCTGAGCCAGGGAGCAGCGCTGTTAGGGAGAGGAGGCAGCCGTAGCTGCCCCAGCGCTGGCAGAGAGAAGGCAGCCCCATAGTTGCGCCAGTGTATAGTGTTTGTAGTAGAACTCAGACGGTTTAGTAGAATCAGCAGTGGGTGTATTCAGAGTTGGTCCTTGAGTAGTAGAGGGTGTGAGTGCATACAAGTAGGGAGAGAAGACACAGGGAGGTAGTAGACAGAGAGAAGACTGAGCGAGAAGAGAGAAGAGCAGTGAGAGAGATACTCACCTGAATTAAGATACTGGTTACTTGGATCTGCGCTGTTGAGCGCTTGTGACTGGAACTCTAATTGCTCTTATGATAATTTGTTGGAATTCTAAACCTGCACTTACCTGGTCTTCGTCTCTCTCTGGCCTCCAGTGTGAATTTCGTGTAATCTCATTTGTGCATGGTGTGTGATTGTGTGCGCTCATTGGTGGTGAACTGGGAGGTTCATTGCATTTCAGCCAGGGCCTTCCCAGAAAATGTGGCACAAAGAGAAAGAAAAGAAGAAGAAAAAGAGAAACACAGATTTGGCCGTGATAGCTGTCAGATACATTCTGAAAAGTACTAGTGTGAGTATGTCCTCATTGAGGGTGGTTCCAAGCACATAGAAAACGCCCTGCCTCGCTGGCAGGGCACTAAGAAGAAGAAGGAAAAAAAACAGCAAAGTTTTCGCCCTAATAGTGGCCAGAATCGCCAGATACATACATTCTGGATATTACAAGTGTGAGTATGCCCTCAGCAAGGGGCTTTCCAGACATCGTTGATCTGTATTTAGTTCTTCTTTTTTTGTTTTTTCCCTTGTCTTTTTCATGCCATCTGCTGCCACGAGATGCAGCACTCCCAGTTTTTTCTTTTTTTTTTTGGCACTTCAGTTCCAAGGGAGGCTGGTTCCAGTGCCTCCCTTGAAGAAAGCAACGACGTGCACTGTAGACTGCAGGCTTGGGATGCTTATCCAGCGGCCTAGCTCAGTTGGTAAGGCACGCAAGTGGCATTCAGGAGATCTTGGGTTCAATTCCCACTGGCCTCATGTACCTTCCTGGGCTAGCTTGGCACCCGCCATCTAGAGATAGGCCGTTGGTCCCCCCGATTGGCATTTAGCAGAGACTGCTGATGTTCATAGGGGGAGGGGACCGGATGGGAGGCACAGCCACTGGCCCATCGAAAAAGCTCGGTCCTGATGCTACTGGCTGACTGGTGGGTGCAGCTCCAGCATGTTCCCTCATTGGAGGCTTGAGCACGGATGTGGCTGCTACGGGGTTCCCCGTAATGCTATAATGACAATAAATAAGGCCTGAAAGGCCCTCCTGTCCAGATTTGACAGGTAATTGAATTGGTTGGGTATAAAAAAAATTAGCCTTGTTAAAATAAGAAAGAAAAAAGAAAAAAAA